AGGGTTCAGGGCCTTAGGGTCTAGGGTTCAGGGCTTTAGGGTTTAGGGTTCAGGGGCTTTAGTTTAGGTTTCGTTCCAGACCCTTTGCTAGAGCCCTGCACAGACTCTCAGCCTCTAACCCTATTGCCCCAAACCTTCCGGGGCCCTAAAAGCACCCGAGCCCAAAACGACAGTAAGATTGAAAAACGAAAAACATAAACCCTAAACCCCTAAACCCTAAACCCTAAACCCCTAAACCCTAAACCCTAAACCCCTAAACCCTAAACCCTAAACCCTAAAACCCTAAAACCCAAACACACCCAGAGAACCGTTTCGGTATGAAGCCGCTAGGCCTCCTCGGCTGGCAACTTCAGCACTGCCAGGGCCACGCTTTGGTCGTTCTGGGAGGTGCCGTCGTCCCAGGTGATGTTCGCAGAGGCCTCGATTTAAGGTTGGGGTTTAGGGTTTAGGGTTTGGGTCTAGGGTTTAGGGTTCGCTTTAAAGTTGTGTGACAACTGGACGAGGTATCTTGGACTCATGGCTTTATGGGTCCAGGGTTTTCCGTTGTGTGAGAATAAGTGCGTAGATCTACCTCTCGACATACCCAGTTCACTCAGAAGGCTGTTCTGTTTTGGCGAGGCGGCTGCTTGGGCATGCTTCTGAATGCTAGGAGTTTTGTGCGAGAAGATCTGCAGCCAACCTCAGACCCCGAGCCCCTGAACCCGAAGCCACAGCTTTCCAATGGCTGCCAGGGCCAGGGCTTGCAGGATGGAGGATCGGATGAGCAGGCTAATGTAGGGGCCTTAATAATTAGAATAGGGTTTTGGGGCCCATTAAACTATAAATATACTAAGGANNAAAAAAAAAAAAGTATTGGTAATTGTTTAGGCCCCTACATTAAGGGCTTGTTGGGATGCTCGCTTTGTCTGAGCAGAACTGTTCTGATGCAGAGAACCCACTCCCCCTTGAGGCAATTGCAGACCCTATGGCTTTCATCGAGAGCTGGTGCTCAACATAGGGGATTCTATATTGATACCAAAGTTTCGGGTATCATATAACTTAACATGTATAACACGTAGAACTAGAACTAGATAAGCACAACAAGGGGATAGTAGTACAGACGGGGCTCAAGCGGAAACGCGAAATCATAAATTCCGTGCTCTGGAGTTCAGGTTTGTAGCTCAGAGCTGTTGCCAACAGCCTTGGTACTCCATATTCTGAATCCTCAAGAGTAAACTGTAGGGGAGTTATAGCATTGATCATCAAACCCTATGCTGTCATTGGGGATTACTACTCCTAGGTACCGATTTGAGACAGTTGTCAATACTTCTTGTTGGTTCGATATAGAACCCTAGCTACACTCACATGATTTGGTGTTGACATCGATAAGGGTCTGGGGCCCTAAACCCTAAATACCCTAAACCCCTCGCTTTTTGCGTCCACGTCGCATATTTGCTTCGAGGGGTTGCCAAAAGCTGCAACTGCCAGGACGCCTGCGCTCAAGGGCTTCCTATAAATATGGAATTGGGGAAAGGGTGTATATTTAAGGTTTAGGGTTTTATGGACATTCACAGCTTTACACGAAGATTGGCCTTACTCGTTGCACTATTGCAGCTTTGTGTCAGTATGTGGAGGCTTTGCTAATGTGGATTGTAGCTCGTCGTTCTTCAGACCTTTGTAATTGGTTGAAAGGTTTACGGAGACCTTAACACCTAGTTTAACGATGACCAGTGCCCGGATTCTCCATTCGGGGGCATGGACCGTCATGAAGATTACGAAGTTCCAACTTTCTGGCTTCCACTGTAGGGCAGCCCTGGCGGAGAAAACTTTCCAAAGAAGGTTCCATTTAGGGTGTTATGGCCCTGAAAGTGCCCCTGGGGACTTAGTAAGTAGGCAATCAGGAGACTTTTAAGTACCCTAATGGGGATCCTAACTGAGGTTATGATTCTTTTAACCGTCTAAATTACCTAGTTGCGAAGTCCCCCGATCATTCAAGCTCTAGGAACAAGTCCTCCTCGTCACTGCAGTTGAGGGCGAAGTCCGCATTCGGCAGGGCCACAGTGTAGTTGGTTCCTTCTGACAGGTTGTTGGGTTTAGGATTCAGGATTTAGGGTTGTTGCAAGAATATTATATCGATGGAACGGCGGCTGCGAGGATTAGGGGTCGGGTTGTAGGGGGTTTATGGTTTCGGGCTTTGGGTAGGATGATCCCTGCTCAGTCCCCCTGTGGCTTGCCTTGCAATGTTTGGCAATTACCAGGAATGCCAAGCCCAACTTCCAAAACACTAACCACATAGGGCCCAACTCTCATTACAGTTATAGATAATAACATACCCCAAAACCTTGCTCTAAGTATTAAGAGCCAACATCTGAGTCCTTCGGCCTTCCCTATACCCCTGAACCCTAAATTAAACCCTACACCCCAAATCCTACACCACCCAAGCCAAGAAAGTCAGCCCAAAGGCGGTTCTCGGCCAGCGCAGGCACCACTCCCAGCGTGTACGACTCCAGGGTCTTCGTCGGGCACCTGTTTAGGGGTGTAGGGCTTATAAGGGGTTGGAGAGGGTTTTCTGAGGGGTTCAGGGGTTTAGGGCTAGGTTTAGGGCTTAAGGTTCAGGGATTCAGGGGTTGAGGGTCTAGGAATTCTGGGGTTTAAGGGTTAAGGGCTTAGGGTGTAGGACGCCCTTAGAGCCAAAATATCATATAGATAGACAGATAGATAGATAGATAGATAGATAGATTTGTTTTTATATTTGCAATCCCCCGGAGGTGTATTGTGACAGAAATCGAGCATCATTCCAAGTGTTGTTGTTAAACCCAAGCTCTCTCACCCTAAACCCAAACCCTACACTCGAAATAAGGTTTAGGGTTTAGGCCTACACCCAAAATAATTCGGGTGTTGCAGGATTTCTGGTGCCCCTAGACCTTCCAGGCTGCCTTTGGATTTCTTTGCTTCTCACAGTCGTGGTCGCAGGAACCTTATCTATGACTGTATACGCTGTGCAAGAATCACCCTAAACCCTAAACCTTACACCCTTCTATCGGAAGTGCATGGGTCCTCTCTCGTGGTCGTTCGAGGAAGGTTCTGTCTAGGGCCTTAACCGCGTAATCCGGAACCCTACTTGGAGGTTCATGGGACTTAATAAGTACAGTTATAAGTACCCTAATTGGGGTTATACGCATAGTTACCTTATTCATATCCCGCTTTTCTTCGTCCCATGAACCTCTAAGTACCGGTTTGCAACAGAATCTATAGAAACCGTGACCCATCATTATTGCAAAAAGCCCCAAGCCTGAATCCCTAGTCCCCAAGCCCTACCCCCCAAGCCCTACCCTACACATGATTTTCTAAACCTGGTTCGGTGTAGGGTACAGAAATCAGAAAAAACTAAACCAAACGCCACAGGCACAAGGGCTGCACAAGCAAGACGAGCCCCGTCAGTTCCACATCCAAGTCCTTTGCGAGTTTGCTGCATATTGTATTGTGGAATTTGCTGAATTTGGCAGGTCTAGTGTAGGTTATTGAAAGCAGGTGAATACTTACATACCTGTAGACACGTTCTTAAGTGCCTTGGGCTTAAATTAAGGCACCTCTCACGGTATTCATATGAGACATCATACCGGCCCTGGCAGAGTTTAAAACATGCGGTATTTGCAGTTTGGGCTTTTGGGCTTTCGAGTTTGGAGTTCACGGCTTTGGCACAAAGACCACTATGTACGACGATTGCGTCCTTTGGAGCCTGCGTGCTTGGGCCCTACAACGCAACTCGCATTGCTCACGATCATGCGATCCCACCAGGGCACGGCCTTTCACCCTAAACCCAAAACTCCAAGCCCTGCAAAAAAAGGGGAACCTGAACCCTGGAACACCAACTCCTACGAAACCAACCCACAAACCCTTCGACCCTGAACCCTAAACCCGATCGCGATGCCGTCTTAACATTACATCCTGTAAAGCCACCACACGCAAATCCTATAGACAAACATGAAGCCTGTGGACAACCCCCCTTCCTCAGCAAAAAACAAAAGCTATCGGTGTATCGATGTCGGGTCGAAACTCTGGCAGCGTCTGAATGTGGCCGGCAGCAAGCCATCCCGAAGCCACCTAAGCAATAGTCCAATAACGGGGAAGTTTCAGGGTTACCCTAAGACCCTAGGGGCTCTAGTACCCGCTATAGTAGGTACCTGGAGGGTTATACGGGTTAAGTTTGGCATTGAGGTTAAAAGGGTTTGGGCGTGTCATACATTAGACCAGGTCTCCAGAATTCAGACGTACGCTGTACACCCTATGCTCTAAACCCTATGGCCGTCTTCCATGAACATATGGCGGTTTCAACGAACATAAGACTGTGCAATGCGCACAACGCGCAGGTCTTGTGGAACATGAGATGTTAGTTATTTGGGTTGCAAACCTACCCAAAGCCCCATAAACCGTGATTCTACCCTACACACTCTGCTCTAAAAGCTCCAACCTCCAAGTCCTTAAACCTTATAAGCCCTAAACCCTAAAAAGTGAGGGAAGGCTTCGGGGTTTGGGGGTGCGCAACGTTTGTGGATAATGGATAACATAGGGGCCTTAATAACTACTTTTCTTTGTTGGGGGGGCTCATCATTATGTTAATAAGTACTCATACTTTTTTGGGCGCTCCTTATTATAATCATGGTATGATATACCTTGAAAAAACCTACTCTAATTATTAAGTGCCCGGTCGCAGATTTAGGAGCTCTGGGGCTGGGTTCCAAGGGTCCTAGCGGGTTTGGGGTTTGGGGTTTAGGGTCGCTTTTGGGGTTTAGGGTTTAGGGTTGTTGAGGGGTTATAGGGATTACAACGGTTTAGGGATTGTTTTTTTTGTTTAACTCCTTTTTCCGAAGCCCGAGGATCCCGAAAGGCTGGTTGTGGTTGAGGGGTTATAGGGGTTTAGGGTTAAGGTTGAGGTTGAGTGGTAATGGGGGTTTGGGGTTGAGGGTTAAGGTTGCGGTTAAGGCACACAGCCCTGGCGTACTACTCTGTAGTATTTAGGCTTAAGGTTGTAGTTGAGGGGTTATAAGGTTTAGGAGTGCTTTAAGGGTTCAGGGTTTCGGGTTCAGGAGTCAACGGTGTAGGGGTTTAGGGTTTGCGGTTTAGGCGTAGTTCTGCAAGGGTTTAGGCTAAGGGTTTAAGCACAAACCTGCTATGCTCAAGCCTACACCGGAAGCTCAGCAAATGCCAAACCAGCCAAAACCCTACACCCGAAGCCGGTAGGAACACCTTCCCCCCCCCCTTCAACAACACATCGCGACCCACTCGTGCGCCTCCGGTTCGTCCTGCAGGGTGGCCCAGCATTCGATGTCCTGAATAGACATGGGAGTTCTTTCCCATACATTGGTAACGTTCTCAGCAACAACTTCTACTAGTGTGAATACAGCAAGATTTGGGATTTCAGGATTTTTGCAGAGTATCTGGAGCACAAATGCGGATCTTGCCTCTGTGCTGGGATGTTCCCTAGTACCGCCATCTGGGAGCTGTTCTGACTTAGGGGCCATCGCACCCATATTTACCCTAAGAATCTGACACAGCTACCATGCAGGGGCTTTCATAAGTAGAACCGGGCTCTGGTGTATGTTGTAGAGTAATCTTACTATGACTGAACCCTAAGGAACCATATCAGCAATCATTCCGACCCGTATGCCCGAAACCCTAAACCCGTATAGATCCCTTATAGAATATGCAAACGAAACCTACACAGCGAACCCTATTGTGAAGCCATAGTACCCTCAAAGCGGACCCTTCTATAGAACCCTAGTACGCCGTAAGGGGAAACCATGAGTGCTTACACTGCCCAGCCGCATAGCGCGTATCCGGCAGCAGCCCTTCGATCACCACACCGGATGAGACCTGGTAATTTCGGGTTTAAGTCCGTCTTTTGGTTTAGGGTTTAGGGTTTAGGGTTTAGGGTTTAGGGTTTAGGGTTTAGGGTTGTCCTTCTTTTGGTTTAGGGTTTAGAGTTTAGGGTCTATAGGGCTTTGGGGTAAAGTAAGATAGGACACTTGGAGGTTCATGGGACTTGGTAAGTAGGGAGTTAGTAGACCTGTGTCGACTTATAAGTACGCTAAACAGGATCCTGACCGAGGCTATGATACTTATAACTCCATCCATAAAGTAACTACTTACTAAGTCCCTCGACCCTCCAAGCAAAAACTTCGCCCAATGGAGGGCTTTTGGCGTGGATGTTTCGGGGCTACAAGAGAGCCTTAAGGCCTTAGGGCGAAGAGCTGATAGGACTTCTACACCATAGCTTTTATATATAAATATATATAGAAGAAAGAGAGAGAGAGAGAGAGAGAGAGAGAAATAAAGAAAGAGAGAGAGAGAGAGAGAGAATCTGACCGGCCCTCCACCACTTCAGGGGCTGGGTACTGAGAGGATGTATGCCTTTTTTCCCCGAACTGGGCGCTATACAGCAACTCTGTGGGTGCAAGCTTTGCAGTACACAAGTGGGCCCAAGACCTCACCGGCAGGAATAGAGCCCAACGACATGCTAAACCGTAACCAGCGTGCAAGAGACATCGAACAGCAAAGTTGCCGGCCCTAAACCTTAACAACTGATTAGCAAGTTGAACGCTCTAAAAAAAATCAACCCCCCACTAAACCCTAAACACTTAATCCCAAACCCTAAACCCTAAACCCTAAACCCTAAATCCCTTAAGCACTAAGCCCTAAGCCAACTGGAAACCACGAAACACCTGAAGGCTGAGACCCTGGGACCCAAGGGGCCTCGCGTTCTCTCGCTCTCTCCCTCTGCCTCTCCCGAAACCCCACAGGCCCAAAAGGCTAAAAGCCCTAAACCCTCAACCCTAAAGGCCTAAACCCTAAAGCCTAAAGGCCCTAAAGGCTAAACGCCCTAAACCCTAAAGGCCTAAAGGCCTAAAGGCCTAAACCCTCAACCCTAAACCCTAAACCCTAAACCCTCAACCCTTAACCCTAAACCCTAAAGGCCCTAAACCCTCTTCCTCTGGGGTTTTAGGGTTTAGGGTTTTTGTTCTTTAGGGGTTTAGGGTTTAGGGTTTCATCACACTCGGTTCCTAAGTGACCTCGCAATGATAGTCCCAATTAAGGTCTTTATACATGTACTTACTAAGTCCCATGAACCTCCAAGTAGTCACACTGGGGGCCCATAACCCATACAGCGCGCATAAACCATGGCTCTAAACCTGCTATACACGAAGCTGTGTTAAGCCTTAAACTTACATGAACCATTATAAGGGGCCCCATAGGTCACAGCGAATATCGTGTCTGTGATTGTGATTATCAGCACTTCCGCACGTGAGATCAAGATCGTGGCAATTCGAGCCGATCGCTCCCCACGAGCTTCTAAAAGCAGTGCATTCTGGGCTGAACTCTGCTTTCCGACTCTTCGGCGTGTCCTGTCACTTTCGGAAAAAAGCGGCACGAAAAAGGAAAAATGCCAATCACAGGTGCTTCAGGTAGAGGACTCGGAAGCAAATGGGACCGATGTGGTCATGGTTTAGGGTTTAGGGTTTAGGGTTTAGGGTGTAGGGTTTGCTGACCCATGTCCGATCCAGAGCGCATCGAATTCGGTCCATGCGCGCGTCCCGGTTTGGAAGTGGTGATGAAGAGGATGCACCAGAACTCTGACCAAATTTCAATCTACGGTTGATGGACAAAATCCTGCATGACCTTATATACCTAAACTATGGGATTTATGGTACTATACTATATTTGGGTCATGCAGAATTTTGCTACAAAATCTTGGCTTTGTCCTGCAGAGACGAAGCCAAACCTCCCACAACAAACTACACAAATCGACAAATACCTGCAAGACTCCTAGCCCTAACTTCTCCCGGGTTTACGAGTGCAGGATATGTAACCCGATGAAGCCCCGCAGCTAAAGAGCATTGAACAACCCTAAGTCCTAAACTCGATAATTCGATAAGCCAGTCGGGAAAACCCTTATAAACCCTGAGTCTTATAAACCTTAAGCCACAGACCGCAAATAACCCAAGACCCCTAAACCCTATAGACTGAAAAAACCCTTACAGGAGCCCCAAACCTCTATAGACTTATAGATCCTTTAACTCAGGTTTAGAGCTTAGGGTTTAAACTAACGAACCCCAAGGCCCTATACAACTGGGCACTCGGCGCCCCGAGAAGCCAGCTGCGAAGCGGACTCCAGCGATGCACCGCTTGCGAGGAGACGACAGCCTAAAGGCGTTTACGGTTTACGGGCTGAGGGACGTAATCTTCGGAGCTTAGGCTTTAGGGCTTAGGGTTTAGGGGTTTAGGGGTTTAGGGTTCTTAGGGCCTAGGAGCATCCTTTCGGGTATCTTGCAAGTGCAATTCGGAATAATGGCCCCCGGTATTATTGAATTATTTAGGGGATCCCCCCCAAAGCACCTATCATAAGGATGGGGGGCTTCAATAGTTTATTTCTAGGTGCTCGATAGGTCCCTACTGAGTCTTTCGAGGGTGTGCGCTTAAGGCTTACGTTTCGGATGAAGACTTCTTTCCTTTAGGGGTTTAGGGTTTAGGGTTTAGGGTTAGGGTTATTGGGACTTGTCACAAGCCCCGTAACATAGGGCTCTGGGTTTGGGAAGAGTGCTGCAGCGTTCTGCTTCAGGGTTGGCGGTGGCCATGCGAAGACTTTGCTTTGATTCTTTGGCCGAAGGTCACTTTCTAGAGAGGAACATGGGACTGAGCAAGTAGGTCAAAGCAGGACTAGCTCATTTCGAGTACCAACAAGCCTCCATGATGACCTACTTACCACGTCGCTTCATCCCTCAAGTCAAACCACTTTGACACCTGCAAGAACAAATGCCTAAGGAAACCCTGGTAAGACTCCCCCCAAACCCTAAACCCTAAACCCTAAACCCTTTATACAACGCAGCAAAACACTTTAAAACCCTACAGACGAAGCCCTTCACCAGCCGGGTCCCCGACGGAAGTCAACGCTGGCGCTCCAAGCCACTGAAAAGGAGACGCTCTCTGTGGCCACTGACAGGACCTTGCGCGAGAAAACCCTACTTAAAGGTTCATGGGACTTAGTAAGTAGGATAAATAAGGTAACTATACGTATAACCCCAATTAGGGTACTTATAACTGTACTTATCAAGCCCCATGAACCTCCAAGTAAACCCTTGATTGAGAGTTTGAGGCTTCGGGACCGGACTTCAGGGTTCAGGGTGTAGCAGCATCAGTTGCTAGCCACCCCTACAAAGCCGGCAAATGCCCATGTGAAGTTTCAACCCGTCTAAGGGCGGTTTTGGGTGAAGAGCCTCGGGTCAAGGTTTAGGGTTTGGGGCTGAGGGTTTAGGGGTTTAGGTTGGGTACTGCCCCCATATAGTAACAGTCTATAATAGGGCTACAATTAAGGGTCTATTATATCCATAATACAAATATTATCCAACTGTTACTGAGTGGGGGCAGTACCCAAGTTTAGGGTTTAGGGCTGACGACGACAGTCATGATTCTCTCTCTGTTCGCTCCACTTCTTCTCCGAGAGACAGAGATGACTTGAAGTGGCTCGGTGAGTGCGCGCCCTCCTGACCTGCTCCCTATAGGGTTTAGGGTTTAGGCTTTATAGGGTTTAGGTTTTTTTTTTTTTAAGGGCCCCTTTTCGTCTGCTCGAAGTCAGAGCTCGGGTTTAGGGTTTAGGGTTTAGGGTTTTTTTTAAAGCACCTTTTTCCTCCTGCTGTCAGAGGGTTTCGGGTTTAGGGTTTAGAAGCCTTGTCGAAGCCTGAAAGAACCCTGCAGAATCTGCTATAAAGCCCTACACACCCTGGCACCAAAACGGAATTCTCAGGAAACCCACTGCACTGGACCTTGACCTCGAAACGGACACTCACAAACCCCCAAGCCCTGAACCCGAACCCTAATACCCCTACTTCCGAAACCCCAAAACCCCAAAACCCCTAACACCTAAAGCCTTTAACCACTAAACTGTACCCTTCAAGCCCTGAACCCTAAACAAACCGGCGGCTGGCCTGAGCTCCTTGAAGGAATTCGGCGGGCGTCGTTTGGAAGATAAAGCTCCATGCCACCTGGACACAGGGCTCGGAATACTTTAAGGTTTACCCTGGGGCTCCAAATAGCCCCAAGTAGGCACTATTTATAGACTTTAGACCCCAAAGTAGGTACTATTTCTATACTTGGAGCCCTAGGCTCGGAATACTTTAACCCTTGGCATCAAAACAGCCCATAAGCCTTGTACAATAGGGTCTTTGGGCCCAAAAGCCTTAAAATATCAGTCCTTTGAGGGTAAGGGTAAGGTTTAGGGTTCAAAAGCCCATGTGCCGTCGATAAAGCGCAGCTATCGAGAAAACTCAGCTGACTTCAGCTCCACAAATGACTCCGTCTTGCGCTGGACAGGCGGAGACACCAAGTTGCCAATGCCTCTGTTTTTTGTAGGCATAAGTCCCATCAGCAGAGATTAAGCGACGTGGAGACTCTGCGTGCGAAGCTGATAGAAACTGCTTCCAAGGAGACATCCGGCATCCGATGGCTGAGAGCGCATAGACGATCAGAGAACAGGTCATCGCCGCCGAGGCGATCAAACTCAAATCGTCGCCGATGTGTGCTTTCTTCAAGATGTAGCTTTCGATGTCGATACTGAACAACTGCAGTATCAATCTCCACGCCACCCTATACATAGCGTAGTTCCCCAAGGAGTGGACCGTATCAGTCAACCACCCGTGATACCGGAAAACTCACCCTTTAAGGGTCCGTGTGCCCAATTAGTATATAATATTTTGGCCCAAAATACCTGTAACATATGAACTATTTGGGCACATTGACTCTTAGGGTCGAGGAGTTATATTAAGGGTTCCGTAATGGATTCAGGAGGGTCCCAGAAGATAAGAGTTCTATCTCAAGCGCAATATGCTATCTACACGACGCCGGTGTTGGACCCGAGCTCTTGCGCCAGTGCGATTTCTTACTTCTGCGCAGAACCGCTGCACCGCGTTGTGTAGGCATTCGACAAGGTATTTCGTAGACTCCAAACCCTAAGCCCGAAACCCTAAAAGGCCCTAAACCCTAAACCCTAAAAGGCCTTAAATCCCTAAACCCTAACAAGCCCTAATTCCCTAAACCCTGTAAGGCCCCAAACCCTAAACCCTAAAAGGCCCTCAATCCCTAAACCCCAAAAAGCCCTAAATCCCAAACCCTAAACCCTGTAAGGCCCTAAATCCCAAACCCTAAGCCCTAAAAGGCCCTAAACCCTAACCGTAAGCCCTAAAAGGCCCTAAACCCTCAATCCTAAGCGACTATTCAGGCTCTGAAGTATGGTTTATATAGGGCCCTTAATAATTAGAATAGGGTTTGGGTGTACATACCCTGCAGCTCTAAATAGCCCAAAGTAGGTACTATTTGAGGACTTTAGACCCCAAAGTAGATACTATTTGTATACTTGGAGCCCCAGGGATATAATAAAATTATAATAAGGAACCCCCCAAAAAATAGCATTGGTAATTATTTACCCTAAACCCTAAACCCTAAACCCTAAACCCTATACCCTAAACCCTAAACCCTGCATTACCAGCACACTCCCAAGCCTCCTCTGAGGGCTTCTCCGGCTTCAAACCTCAAGTCGGCAGCGTCATGTAGGGTTTCGGCTTTAGGGTTTAGGGTTTAGGGTTTAGGGTTTCGGCTTTAGGGTTTAGGGTACCTTAATAATTAGAATAAGGTTTGGGGGTACGTTATACTACAATTATAATAAGGAATCCCCAAAATAATATGGTAAGGCCCCTATATTAAGCCCTGAAGTTTAGGGTTTAGGGCCTAAGACCTTAACCCTGAACCCTTCACGCTTTTCCTTCCTGTCCTTGCTTTGCACGAAGCACCCGTCTAGACCCTGAAACCCTAAACCCTCAACCCTAAACCCTCAACCCTAAACCCTCAACCCTAAACCCTAGACCCTAAAACCCTAAACCCTTTAATGGAGCCCGCAAAGAAACCCTTGAAGGAATCCTTAAGGTTAAGGGCTCCTGTAAACCTTCAACCCGGAAACCCTAAACCCTAGGCTCCTTTAAGGTCCCTTCATTGGTTCCTTTTAATAAAGGGTGTCCTGAAAAGATCCTTTAGAGGTTCTGCCTTCAGAGTTGGTCTAGGGTTTAGGGTTTGGGCTTTCGGGGTTCGTGCAAGTTATTATTAATGAATGGTTCTTTATACAGGGTTAAGGTTTAGGGTTCAGGATTTAGGGTTTAGGGTTTATAGAGAAATTTAGGGTGTAGGTCTTGGTATAGTCTGTAAATATCTGTAACATACGGGCCTTAATCACCTTACTTAGTGTTCTTCAAAGAGAGCATAGTGCCCCGAGAATGAGAATAGGGTCCTTGGTGTATATTATAGTATAGACATGCTCCAACAGGGCACCCGGCCGGATACCCAAGGAGTAGTAGACGTAATTAGTATGTACTAGTAGTAGTTACTCCTAGCCCCTATACTAGGGGTGGCAGGGTTTAGGATCTAAGGGATCCTACAACGGTCTTTGGGTGCATCGTTTGACTTTTTGATTGTTTTCGTGTATGTTCAGGACGTTGTCTTGTGTAAACCCCAAACCGAGCTTTAGGGTACGTTATGACCCCTTTTATTATCGGGCATAGCCCAACCCTAAACCCTCAACCCTGCAAAAAAAGCAATAGGTTTTTGGATCCCCATGTACACCCTAAACCTTAGAACGCCTCTGGGCCACCCTCAGAACTCTAAAGACTCTAAAGTAAACTCTGTAGATCTGACGTTCTCGGTGTCGACCTTTTAATGTAATACCTGTTTTAGAGGGCCTGATTTGGAGATCTGATAATGACAAAGGTACCCAAGAAAAGTTACTAGAGTTTCCTGCCGAGGTAGAGTTTTGGGGAATTGCTGTTGGTATACCCAGAGGCTCCATATTACTATTATTACGGAATGTAGTAAGTCCCCAAAACCCTGTTAAGGATGGTCTTTCGGGACCTATTTACTGCCACAATGGTAGAATATGTGGACCCTCTGGGATCAAGTCTCGTGTTCTTGTCGGTTTTCGGGCTTGGTGTAGCCTGCACACTCGCCTTCCCTAAACCCTAAACCTTAAACCCTAAACCCAAAACCCTAAACCCTAAACTCGGATGACGCCTAAACCCTCAACCCTACGGGCCTATGCGCAGAGGGCTACTGCACAAAGCGTACAAAGCGCCCGAGGCCCCGCAACTTCCCAAACCCTCTAAACACGTATACCCTAAATAGGCCCTAAAACCTAGGTCCTAAAAGAAACCTACCTATAGTCTCCATTGTAGTTCCTTTTTGGTTGGCTTAACCAGTTCTATAGTTTGGATCCTATTAGCTACCCCCCCCCCCCCAGAAAAAAATCAAAAAACAATGGAGACTATAGGTAAAATCTATGAACCAAACCCCAGCCCTATCGACCTTAGAAGCCGAGTTCTCCAACGAGATCCTACAGCCCTACACCTTGAAAACCCAAGCGTCAAGCCCTCAAACCAGAGCCTATTTAAACCCGCAAGCCTGCAAGCCCTAAACACTCAAACCCTAGGCCTCAAGACCCAAAAGTCCTAGTTAACGCCGAAATCCTAAGACCCTAAATGTTAAACTCAAGCCCCTATTATAGAGCCCTGAGCCCTTACAGAGCCCTTAAAAGGAACCCTTAAGGGGGACCCTCCAAAGGAACCCTCAAAGCCACCCATCAAGGCAGCCTCATAAACCCTAAACGCAAAGGCCTAAACCCTAAATCCCAAACCCCAAACCCAAACGCTTACACAGAAAAGACCTCAAGCAACAAAAACAAAGCACGCCCTAAACCCTAAACCCTNNCCCCCCCCCCCCTCAAAAAACAAATCCAAAAGCCCTAAACTCTAGAACAGCGCGAAGCCGCCAGGGGGTGGAGAGGAAGAGTTGGGCAGCCCCCCGACCGATTTTCAGACTTCACGCCGCCGTTCCTTTCAGGTTCAAGGTTTGGGGTTCAGGGTT